ATCTGCAATGCTTACATAGACAAACAAAAATAAAAACAAAAGGCATCATTTGGACACTTCATTCTGACAACTGGGCTAATAATCATGTAAACTTCTACCTTAGTCTAATTTATACTGGAAACTGTCATATTCACTACATACTAGAGACCACTCAGTCCTGGACTTGGCTACAGGTCAATGTATGGTGGCACATACCTAGCTGCCACAGTGGCAGCTAGATTATTACCTCAAAGCCAAACTTCTGTCCTCAGAAGGAGGGAGCTTCAGAGATGACTCAAAGGCTTACTTTGAGTAGATGATACAATGTGACTTAAAGAAGCTTTAGCTGAGCAGCTGTGGTGGATTCCTTTAGTCCCACTATTTCAGTGGTCTTGTCTCAAAAATCCTCCCAAACAGAGGCTGGGAGATGGTTAAGAACAATTAAGAACACAGGTCCAGCCTGGAGGTGATGGTGCACAGCTTCAGTCTTAACATTTATCCCAGTAATCTAAAGATGTTTTCAGTGGTAAAGTCTCTTGGCTCTTGTTTGTCTTAAATTAAAATAAGCCTGATATTACATAAAGCTGAGTGTGGTGGCATACCTTTAATTCCAGCACCTGGGAGACAGAGAGTCAAGTGGATCTCTGCAAGTGGCATCCAGTTTACAGATGAGTTCCAGGACAGCCAGAGCTACACAGAGAAACCCATCTCAAATGCAAACAAGCAAACAAAATAAAAGAAATAAATTTTTTTGAGTGATGGGACTGTTAGTGATCTATTACAGTGTTTATTTGCCTGGGTGAAATTCATGATTACAGAAATTAATACAATTTCTCATAGATTGCTAATATTCATAATTTAGAATGAAGGCCAGTATTAGGAGAAGAACATGAGGTTGCCTTAACTAATATAGCTGGGCAAACAAAATAGCCTTCCTTCTCCCTGTCTCTTTCAAAAGCCAATCTAAAAAAAAAAAAAACAGAGAAACCCCCACCTTCTGAAGACAGAACTTTGGCTTTGAGGTAACGTTCTAGCTGCCAACTCTGGCTCAAATTCCAAATCTGAGGTCCAACTGCAAACTCAGGCACGCTGTAACATCTTACCAACCTGCCACCATACAGGGCTATTTATTTATTTTTTGTGTTTGTTTGTTTGTTTAGAGTCTTTCTACATAGCCCTAACTATCCTGGGTAGTCTTACAATGGCTTGATAAAAAGACCAAGAATCTGGTCATCATTCGGTCTATAAGACTGGATATCTCAGTAGTCTCAATCTGTTATAGGGTACTGGGGACTTCCTAGAGAGCTGTTGGTGTTCAGACTACATTGGAATCTGGAATAAGTACATTGTAATACCAGGAAGGAATGCCCCAGTAACAGGACAGGACAACTTGCTGATGAGAATGAGGGCAAAAAGCAAACACTTCCTTATTCATGTCTGTCTGTTTGTTTGTTTGTTTGTTTTTCAAGACAGGGTTTCTCTGTGTAACCTTGGCTGCCCTAAAACTCATTCTGTAGACCAGGTTGGCCTCAAGTACTGGAATGCCTGACCACGTAGAATGCCATCAGAAGATCTGACAGTGAACACAAGAGCTCTTCATTCTTCTGTCTCCCTAGTGCTGGGATTAAAGGCATGTACCACCACACCCAGCCACATAGGTCTATCTGTTAGGAGGACATGAAAGGAACCTGGCAGTCCTTGGGCACATAACTACTATTAATACAATTCTATAATAGCTACTTTGTAGTCTAAAAGACCTTGATACTTTTCTTCTTTTGAAAGTAATGGCCTCTCATAAATCATTTATGGTTTCTTTTCATTCTGTGATGGCAAAAACCATAAAGAACACTGGAGGCCTCCCAGCACTAGGGAGGAAGAGGTAGTAAAAACTTGAAGCCAGTCAGAGTCACAAAGTAAGACCCTGTCTCAAAAAAATGAAGTCAGTTATATTGCACACTTTTAATCCTAGCACTCAGGAAACAAGCAGGAAGATCTCTGAGTTAAGGGTTGGCCTGTTCTATATAATTACATAGATACCATGCCTCACCCCCCTCACCCCAAGGAAAAAAAAAACAAAAGAAAGAATGAATACTGAGATTATTCTACTCATGTAACTTTGTAGAAAAATACCATTTTTTTTTACTTGTTAAATATGCCATTATCACAAACATCCTGATACATATGGAATACTACAGATTTTTGTCAAAGGGTTTCATTTCAAAAAGTAATCATAGTAAAATGTGTGCAAGTATAAAAAAAATTCTATTTATCTTTGAGACAATTCTTAAAATAGCTTCTTGGAGGACATGACATTATAAAGATTTGGGAGGTGGGGAAAAGCTATTTCTATTTAGCATCCAGATGTGTTCTCAGATGAAGCCTTCCTCAAATGGAACAGGCTGGGGTTTCTCTTGTGACACTAAAGAGGTGAAGTGAAATTCAATGTAATAATTATATCATGAGTACTGGGGTATGGTGTCTGAGCTGTAACTCTGGCCTATTTAGAGGATTGTTCTAGGAAAGAGTCAGATGAAAGATGCTACATTCTGGTAACTATTTCAATTATTTGTTTTTAAAACTGTCAAGTTTGAAAGTGATAGTACATGTCTATAATCCCAGAACTCAGGAGACAGAAGCAGAGACAGGACCAACCACAGGGAGTCTGAGGACAGTATAGGCTCTACGAAACTGTCTCAACCCCCTCCCCCAAAAGAATGCAACTACCATATAAATACAGAGCACTTGGTAATGAACTATTTCCTCACAAAATACAAACAAATGATTTACTTCTACAATCGATTTATAATACTTAAGACAAAACAACAACTAAGTAACAAAATGCTCAGAGTTTGAGGTAGGCATGTGACTCATTGTAATCTCAGCACTGGAGAGGGGATGGGGTATGTGTAAAAGCAGGATTGCCATGAGCAGGCCAGCCTGGGCGGCAGTGTACAGAGAGACCTTGTCTCAAAAGCAAGTAAACAAAGCTTCACTGGGTTTGGTGGCATACACCTTTATCCTCAGCACTCTCCTGAAGAGGCAGGTGATTGCTGAACGGGAGGCCAGCCTGGTCTACATAACAAATAAGTTCTAGGACAGCCAAAGCTACATAATGAAACCCTTAAACAGTAAAAAACAAATAGCAAAAAAAAAAAAAAAAAAAAAAAAAAAGCCCACATTCCTATACATCTATATCTCAGTTTAAGGAAAACAATGAGTTACAGGGGTAAATATTTTTTGTTTTCCTGAGACTGGGTTTTTAGTGTAACAGCAGAGGGATTTGTCTCAGTCTCCTGAGTGCTGGGGTTAAAGGTGTGTGCCACCACTCAGACATTAGAGACAATAGTTTTGTCTTTTGCTCCTGACCACACCACCCAAACTGCACCTTCCCTTTCTATGTGACTTACAGCATGAGGTTTCATCTTTCTGGGCCTCAGTTTTGTTCTGTTTTTCTTTTCTTTTGTTTTTTTTTTTTTTTACAGAGTTTTTCTGTATAGCCCTGGCTGTCCTGGAACTCACTCTGTAGACTAGGCTGGTATCAAACTCAGAGATCCACCTGCTTCTGCCTCCTCAGTGCTGGGATTAAAAGCCTGAGCTACCACCTCCCAGCTAGTTTTTACATTTATGTAATTAAAATATTTCCTCTCCTGTCTCCCTCACAAAGGGATTAGGAGGCTCTGACAAACTCAGTAAGGTAGAATCGTCTGTGGTTGTGACTGCAGATCTAGCACAGATCCCTGAGCATGCCAGGCAAGTGCTCCACACTGGGCTATTTCCTTAACCCAAGCATGCTATCCTTAATGAACTCAAAGAGGCACTAACTTTTACCCAAGAACTATGTTCAAGGTTTACATACAGAATTATAGTTATTTTCAAATATGTGATGGGATTTAACAAAATATCACCATAGCGATATTCTGGTCTCCGAATGGAGGAGTGGGTTCGTATCCCACTTCTGACACCAGATATTGCGGTAAATAAGGATCAGGATAAACAAATAGGCCAAATAGATGTTTATTCAGGGAAAAATAACTTACAACCTAGACAGATGAACACCAGGATATCCAACCCGATCCTCTCCTGTCCGAGTCACGCCAGAAAGAGAATGCCTTTCCTGGCCCCCTCCGACCTCCTTCCACAGGTTACTTCCGCCCATAGCTCCACCCCCAATGGGCGTGGTCAGTGCCACAGTAGATAAAAATGATCCCAAAGTAGCTAAAGACCAAACCCACATGAATCAGAATTACTGAGGAACTCATTAACTCCCAAATTAGTTAATTTTTCTGCCCAAGCTCATTATGTAGCTCAAGATGACCTTGAATTTCCCATCTTCCAGATTCATTTCCCAAGTGATAAGGTTACACTTGTGTGTACCATCACAGGTGGAGCGGGGGATGGAACTCAGGTCTTCATACATACATACTAGGTGAGCACGTTACCAACTGAACCACATTCCTAACTCCATGAGTCAATTAACCCAATAATTAAGTCAGGGACAGTCAGACAGATGGACGGACACATTGACACACACACCATTCTTTTGTTGTCTGTGGGTGGTGGCCCACACCTTTAATCCTAGCACTTGAGAGGCAGAGGCTGGTGGATCTCTGAGGTCTCTGAGGTCCAGGCCTGCTTGGTATACAGAATGAGTTCCAGGACAGCCAGGGATATACAGAGAAACCCTTTCTTGAAAGAAGTATTGGGCCAGCAAGATGGCTCAGGAGGTAAAGACACTTGCCACCAAGCCTAAAGTTCTGAGTTCCATCTCCACCCAGGACCCACAAGATGGAGAGAACTGACTCCCTCAGCACAAGCATGGTGGTAACATCCAAACACATACACATATGCATTAAGTAATTGTAATTTTAAAACATACAGAAACTTCAACATTAGGACCACCCCACTGAAACCGAGATAAATATGAGGTACACTTACACACCTTAAGTCCACACACAAGCCAAAACCAAAAGAAATGCAATAAAAATCCCACTTCAAGTATGCACAAGGTAATAAATACTCACTGAAAGCAGAAAATTTATATTCCCAGAAGAAACAGCTACAATAGGGAAGGGAACCTATTTTGTCTCTGGAATGAATCTTCTTCCTTCCAATTCCATTCCTTCTTCCAATGCCTAAGACAGAAATACAAGTGTAGTGAACAAAGTCCGAGTAGTGGAGAGGTCTGTGCAAAAGTTACAAAAGTATTGTTTTTTGAGACAGGGTTTCTCTGTGTAGCCCTGGCTGTCCTGGATCTCACTCTGTAGACCAGGCTGACCTTGCTTCTTCCCTCTGCCTCCCATGTTGGGATTCAAGCTGTGTAACACCACACCCGGCTTTACATCAGGTTTATTTTAAGAATGAAAATATCTTCAGATTACTGGGATACACACTGGGATTAAAATCAGCACCACCACTACCAGGCTCAAAAGTTACAATTTAACAGAGCAATTTTTGCAGAAACAAAACCAGTTGGAGAATAAGCTCTCCTTACTTCCAAACACTTCTAATGCTAAAGATGAGACAAGGAACAGAAGTCCCATGGAGGATCAAAGGCTGTATTCTACTTGAATGAGACACACTTTATTAACCTGCAAACTCCCCCTTCAACACATTTAGGTCAAAACTTGTTCTCCAGCTAGGATCTACCACATTGAGCTCTCCACAGGTTACAGTACACAAACATACTCCCAACTCTTGAAAAGTACCTGACAACATGCTAGGCCCCTGAGGACACGGCATCTTGTGCCGGGAAGAGATGGTAAGTGCCGTTGGAGCCATTCATCCTTATTCAGTCTTGCACAAATCTCTTCCACCTTCCCCGATTCCCCAGTACTACAGAATTTATGCAAAGCAGACTCCAGGCCCCACCCGCTCAATCTTAAGAGAGGGCAATGAAAGCAAATAGGCCCAGAGGAGTAAGTGAGCAAAGAGGAGTCAGATCAGGACAAGGAATGAAGGACAGAACACACAGCTCCGAGGAGGGGCCTAAAACCCAAAGTTTAAGATGGAGGGATAGTAGCAGGCAAGGGGGGTCTACAAGTAGCTGTGGAAGATGGAGCAGGAGGAAAAAGAAGAGGAGAAAGTGGAAGAGTGAAGAGATAAGCAAGGGAAGGATGAGACAAGAGGGAAAGAGGCCGGAGCCGGGAGGGGTAGAACGGGCAGACGGAAAAGGTGAATAGGAGGATGCGGGACAGGAGAGTACAGGGCGCTGGGGGAGTTGGGGAAACGACAGGGCGACGGGTACAGCAACTGGGTCCGGGCCGCGGGGGTGGAATCCAGACGCCGGGCGGGGGAGGGGGACGCCGGGCGGGGGGCCACCAGGCGGCGCAGGAGACCACCAAACTTTCCACCGACTGTTTCCTGGAGGGAGTTCAGGCACCGAGGGTACCGCCGCTGCCTCGCCTCCCTGGCCGAGGGTGACCGCGGCCACCCAGACCCCGGGCACACGGCCTCACGGTCCCGTTGGCCCTCGGCGGGGACACGCAGCCCCGAGCAGGCCTTGCCCACCCGCGGCTGCCGCCTCGGCGAGCCCCTCCCCCATGGCGCCCCGGGACCCCTCGCCCTGCACCTTGGGACCCCAATCTCCAGGGTCATGTCGGCCTCGGAGCTGAGCAGGCCTCGAGAAGGCCTGGCAGGAGAAAGGCACGGCACAGCCCCCCTAGCATTTCCCACCTTTTCTCCTGACCCAGACGCGGCCGGGGCGGACGGGACCTCTCGCGCTCTGCCTTCTCTTCCTCCTGCTTCATGGAGCCATGCGCCTGGGTGGAGGCTCCCGAGAAAAGCAGAGTCCCCGGGCGGGTGAGGACGCCCGAAGGAGGCCGGCGGGAGGGCAGAGGAGGAAGCGGCGGGGCGGCGGCGACCGGGGAGAACTAGAGGTATTCCCGGGGCGGGTGGAGGACTGAGTCGAGTCGGGACCCGAGTCCTCCTCTATCCCAGCAGCCACCGGAGGCAGTGAGGTAATGGAGGAAGAATGTGGGGAGTCCTCCAGTGGACCAAACGTCCTCTAGCGAGTCGGGGAGAACCATAGAGATCCCGAGGCTCTGGGAGTACCGCCCCGCTAGTCACGTGACCTTAGTCCGCACATTTTTGTGATTGGCGCTGGTTAGCGTATAGGCAACTGCCTTTCGTCTGTACGAGGCAGGTGGTAGTGAAACAGGCGCTCCGGGAAGATCTGGAACTTACTGGGGTCCCCTTGCGGGAGCGGAGCCCACCCAGTGCGGCTCACCGATGTCAAGCCAGGCGGCGCAGTGTTTGCCGGGCCACCCCGGCCAGGCCGCGGCGCAGAGCACGCCGGGAGCTGTAGTTTTGGTCGCGCGACAGCATTGTCCGGGAGGCTGCAGGTGGCACTTGAAGCTGCAGCCTAGGGAGCTCTGGCCTTACCCGAGCAGTCGCCCACGTTAGCAATTCAGAGCTGTCAACGGCTTTTCTCCCCGTGCGCCCACGCTCACATCACTCTGCCTGACCGAGTGTCCGCCCTCGAAAGCGCCCTGGAAGTGGGCAGCTTAGAACAAGCCAAAGACTGCCAGAACCAGGCCCACCGGGACTGTGCCAGGCTGAATGTCAGACTTGGCACCTGGTCTCCTTAGCTTCCCATTGCGCTGGAGAAGGGCAGGCTGACTCAGCTTTAGGGGTGGCCAGGCAGCATCTACTCGAGTCTGTAATTCATAGTTACCAGAAGCCCCAGATGACATCAGAATACTCATGTACAGGATTAGGCTAGGACGACTAAGCAACTGCAGAAGCTGAAGAGGCTGAGTAGGATGGGTTCCCAGCACCCACACAGCAGCCCACAACTGCCTGTAACTCCAGTTCCAAGAGATCACACACTGTCTTCTGGCCTCCCAGGCATTGTAGACATAAGATGCACGTAAACAAAAGCAGACACATACATACACATAAATGTCTGGTTTTGTTTTTCGAGACAGGGTTTCTCTGTGTAGCTTAGAAGCCTGTCCTGGAACTCGCGCTGTAGACCAGGCTGGCTTCGAACTCACAGGGATCCTGCCTACCTCTGCTCTCCTGAGTGCTTGGATTAAGGTGAGGGCCACCACTACCTGGCCATAAGTGTTTTAAAAAGAATTGGCTCAAGCACATTTTGCTCTTCTGCTAATGTGTAAAGGCGTGCTTAATATGTTTGTCTTCAAGGGACCAAAGAAAAGTTATTTTTTTTAAAAAAAGCAAATCATATTTAATGTGAAGCTTTCCAGCAACCCCCCTCTGCTCTAGAATGCATGATATATGAAAGAATAATAAAATCTACTAGTATATAATTACCTGTATGAAGCAAAGCCTGAGAAACTGAGTGTTCAGCGCCTTTTGGACCCAAGCTTATAGAGAGAATCTAATAAAAAGATGTCAGGAAAGAAGACATCACTGTGTTTTATGAAAAGGGAGGTAACTTTTTTTAAAAAATGTGATCTCTACAGCAGTCTTTATAATTCCTATCAAAGACTTGAAGTGTTTGTTGCTATTGAGGCCATGTTTGGCCATGTCTGGCTTTCCCTATCTGCCTGAAAAACTGAAAACTGTATGACTATAGGGTTTTTGTTGTTGTTTGTTAGCTTGGTTTTGGGATAGGGTTTCTTTATGTAACAGCCCTGGCTGTCTTGGAACTCTCTCTGTAGACCAGGCTGGCTTTGAACTCACAGAGATCTGCCTGCCTCTGCCTTTCCAGCGGTGGGGTTAAAGGTGTTCACCACCACTGCCCAGCCCCAGAGGTCAGGTTTTTGTGTTTTGTTTTTTTCTCTTTTTAATAAGAAGGCAAATTACAACTGTAATCAAAATAAATTTCACACAATGAAGATCTTTTCTAGCTGAATGTTTTAAACCATTGCATCTGGGGAAAGACCTCAGTCTATTGCTCCCAGGGTGGTACTATACAGTCATTAAGCAGCCCAGAGCTAGGGGAGATATTGTTCCCTGGTTATCAAGCTGCCAGGAAGTAAATATTAGAACTAAGCTGGACTTGAAATGCTCTCAAATTAAAACACAAATTGCTTTGAGCTGGTCAAAGGCTCAGATGCTGCCTTTATCTCTAACTGTTGCCGAAAGGCAGAGGAACAGAACTTAGAAAAAGAAATCAGTGTTATCTCGTCTTCAAGGAGTGGTCAGAACTGATGAGAACATAAGCACAATGGGGCTGGGCTGCAGCCCTGTGTGGTACAGCACTTGCCATGGATGTGTGTGGCACAAGAGTCACTCACTCACTCTTCATTGCTACCATGGGAAAAAGAAAACAGGACAGAATTATGAACATGGAGAAGAAACTGGAGTCAATAGAAGTCTTCAGTACAGCAAGGGTTGTGGCATTTGTTTTTTGCATATAATACAAAACCCCCACTTCCACCTCCACAGGGTTTCTCTGTGTAGAGCAGGCAACTCAGAGATCAGGCTGGCCTTGACCTCAGAGATCTGCCTGCCTCTGCTTCCCAACTGCTGAGATTAAAGGTGTGTGCCAACACCTTCCATCAATGTAATAATCTAATGGAAAGGGGGAAATGCCCAAAAGCTGAGTGGTACCAGTGTTCTGTCTGATCCTGACATGTTGCCCTTATCTGCTGGGACATGGCTGTACTGCTCACCAGAAAAACTGTCCCCTGTGGTAGATACCACACAGATGTTCGGCTTTCCATCATTTCTTACCCAGAATGTTAAGACAATGGTGTCATGATTAAGAGAGTTCACTTTGGAGTCAGACTTTATGAATTCAAGTTTGGGTTACCATTTGTAAAACAAACTGGTGGAAAAACTATCCCAAAGGATCATTATGGGATATTATCTGAGATATTATTATTTTTGTTTTGTGTGCATGAGTGTTTCATCTGTATGCATGCATGTATGTACAGCATGTGCAGAAAGTGCCCACAGAGTCCAGAAGAGGACTTTGATTCTCTTAGAACTGGAGCTAGAGACAGTAATTAGTGCCATGTGGGTTCTGGGAATCAAACCTGGCTCCTCTGGATGGGCAATCAGTGCTCTTAACTGCTAAGCTATCTCTCTAGCCCATTTGTATTTGTGGGAGGGTTTTATTTATTTACTTATTTTGGTTTGGTTTGGTTTTGGTGAACCAAAATTTATTTTCTCATCTAAGGGGAAATTGCTCTGAAACAAATGCTATGTAGCCAAAAGTCATACAAGATATAAACATAAAGACAACCTTCATAAACAGGGTATTATATTTATAGAAATCAATTTTGATAGAAAGTTGATCAATGGATCCTGGAATGAGTAAAGTAATTTTTCAAATTTTACTAATGCCTTACTTTATTTTTGGGAAACAAGATCTTACTTTGTATTCTTAGCTGACTTGAAACTTACTATTGTAGATCAGGCTGTCCTGAAACTCATAGAGGTCTGCCTGCTTCTTCTTACAGAATGCAGAGGTTAAAGAAACACACCACCATGCCTACATTGCTTGTTTATTGTTTGTTCCTTGAAACAGCCTACAGTGTCTCACATGTAGCCCAGGCTGACCTGCAATTCATTGTCCCAAACTGACCTCAAACTTGAGGCAATCCTCCTACCTCAGCTTCCTGAGTGCTGGGATTATATAGTTAAGTAAGTACTTTATGCCCATTTGTTATGAAAACTTAAAAACTCTGTATAAAGGTATTATGGAGGATTAGTATGTATGGTGGTTTGAATGAAAGTGGCCCCTATAGGCATATATATTTGAGTATTTGATCTTTAGTTCATGGAACTGTTTGGGAAGGATTAGGAGGCATGGCCTTGTTGGAGGAGGAGTCACTGGAGGCAGATTTTGTGATTTCAAAACAACATTCCTGTTAGATCTCTTTCTCTGCCTCCTACTTACAGATATGTAAGCTCTTAGCTGTTGCTCCAGCACCATGCCTACCTGATGCTGTGCTCGTTGCCATGGTGGTCATGGACTCACCCTATACAACTGTAAGCCTCTAATAAACTCTTTCTTCTAGAAGTAGTTTTGTCATGACAGTAGACTAGAGCAATGGAGAAAGACATCAGAAGTTGACCTCTGGTTTCTACACAAATGTACACATACATGTACACCCTTGCACAGGTGAACACACACACATCACATATATGCACCTGCACACACCACACACAGAGAAAAAAAAAAGTTTGAGGGCAGCCAGAGCTACCTACCAAGACCCTGCCTCAACCTCTATACCCCCTTCCAAAAATAAATAAATAAATAAATAATAAAAACAAAACAAAACAAAGAAATCAGATAAATAAACTAAAATCAAACAAGCAATGAACAACCACTGAATCTCTTGATTTGGAAAAGCAAATAAAGCTGTTACAAAGAAATGCTGGATAGCCAAATGCAATGGCAAAGGCCTGTAACTAGCTGGGGAGAAAAAAAACCCAACAACAAAACCTAACAACAAACAAGGGCTAGATATGGTGGCACAGACCTTTTGTCCCATGACTTGAGAGGAAGATGCTGGCAGGCCTCTGTGAGTTTCAGGCCAACAGTCTATGTAGCAGATTGGAGTGCCTGGGCAACAAATAAACAAGCAAAACAAAAAACAAGACTAGGAATATAGTTGAGTTAGGTTCAATTAGTAAAATGTCTGGATTCAGCCTTAGTATGGAATAAACTGGGTGTGGCATGTGGTCTGTGCCTGTAACCCCAATAATGGTGAGTCAGTAGGATTAGGAATTCAAGGTCATCTTTAACTACATAAAAGGTTCAAGGTCATCCTGGACTGGAGACCTTGTCTAAAATAGCAAATAAAATGAAGAAAATCACACGTGGCTACCTAGGAGGCTGAGACCCCAGATTAGGAGTTCAAGGTCAGCCCGTGCAACAAAACAAACTAGAGAGTCTGAGAGTGAGCTCAGGGCTGGAGGGTCTAAGTGGAGTGAGGGCCCCAGGTTTGGTCACTAGCACTCCAAAAAAAAAAAAAGTAAGGAAACCAAAAACCAAATGCCAAAAAATGTGTTCTGGGTGGGGGATGTGTCTCAGTATTGGAGCTCATACTTATTAAGTATAAAACCTTTTGTTCAATCACCAGACAGGGTATGGGTTGCGGTGATCAGATATATTTTAAAATATAGAATTAACCCTACTTCTGTCATCAAATTATGGTATCTTAGGAGAGATTATTCTTAGTGTTGCCCAAAGAAACACAGAAACAAAGCAAAAGAAACCTAGCAAGGTTTAAAAAAAAAAAAAAGTACTAAACTGGCTAGCACACATGGCCAAGATAACCTCTGACTTTTATCCCTAATACAGGGGGTAGCTAGGCTGTCCCTAATTGGCTT